GAAACTTCAACTTGGATTGCTGGGTTCATAGCCCAGTACGCTAATCACTATGTTAAGCTCATGCAAATGAAGTGAAATGTTCCTATAAATGGATACTAATATTTATTTTTTATTGTAATTATTCTGAGCTGTAATGCAAATGATAACGTGTTTTTTAGAATGAATTCTCCAGTGCACTCACCACTGCACCTCCACTCGCCCCCTTTTAAATAATAATACCTAGGAAACTAAACTATACAAATGGGAAAAAGATTAATTCAATAATTGTTGTTCCCACTATCAACTTGGGCTGTTTATCTAATTAACAAAATAATGCCCCTCGCAACACTGAGCTATCGCTAATCTGCATATTGATGGTATTGTATCAATATCAGCAAACACCGCAACACCCATCACGACTGTTTAACTAATCGTGACTTGAAATTGTGTGTTTTTTCCCGTGGGAGGTAATGAGTCTCTATTGGCTGTCACTTGTGGTATCACTTTGTTTAAAAAAAAACACACATGTTTGAGTACTTTTCTGGATTACAGGAGCAACATGACAAAAGTTGTTGTTGTTACAAACATGTCAAGGTGCAGCCCTGTAATTGCTTACTCATGCTACTGCTGGCAGGAGGGCCTCCACTACAGGGGAGCTCAATCGCATATTTGGTCTACTCTGCCATAATAACCAGACGTTTTTGAAGAGGTCGGTCTACCTACACATTTCACCACCACGCGCGATCTGCCGATTGGCGAACTGTGGAGTAACCACTCGCATATTCGCACTGCTCGGTCGACAAAGGCTGAGGTGGGGGGGTAGATTTTCATGAAAACATGTTTTGACAGAAGCACGATGACACAGATTGTTGGTGTCTGAACATGTAATCATAATGTACAGTAGGGGGCAGCAGTCACTGTTCTTGCTGCAATTTGTCGTTCGAACACTTTCTGTATATGAATCGATTGGCGGTAGCCCGGGGTCACCGCAAAATATTGGTGGGCCGGGCATAGTTTAAGGTTTTTTTTCTTTCTGGGAGCATCGCTGGTACTAACACCCTGTCCTGCCGGAGGGCGACGCTGGGAGCGATGATGACGATGTCGATGTCGATCCCGCCAGCACGACCGTGACCGCCGGCCGTACCAAGATGAGCGCCTGGTGCGCCATTGCCTCCAAGTGGTCTCGCTCCCAAAGACAAGGGGGTGGCCGCCCCCGTAAGAAGCAGAACGTGCCGGGGAATGACCAGACCAGCAGCATCCTGATGTACTTTCAAAACAAGCGATAAACAGCCGTTGCCACGCACAAATCCCCAGCAGCCCCGCTTTTTTATGGGTGTTTTGCGTTTGTTTTTTATTTCCATATTTGGCGTGCGTATCGGGCTCAGTGACATCTCCCGTCTTCATAGGCCTTCTGGTTTCGGAGTGATGGAGGTTTTGGCACCCCCGGGTAATGATGGTGACCTGGGTCACCGCCAATCGATTCATATGACGAGACACTGGCCGGACAGATTGCAGACTTCTTTATATTGATTGGCTATTGCATTCACGGTCTGCATTGTATTTGTTTTACAATCGAACGTTTCCCAATCGTCCTTCCAGAGTCGTGGCATGCGATGAGGGACATTTCCCTCTGGAAAGCAACAGCAAAGCATCGCATCAGCGAATGGCCGTGGAAGACGACAATACAGAACTACGGGGTGATCCATTCACCGATACCGGTTCCCAGAGCAGTGAGCGATATTTAACTCGAGACATTCGTGCGTTCGATTGGCCAAGGTGAAACGATTGTGTGCACCCCCCCTCCTCCTCACCGGGTACACCAGACCTGACCCCCAGCCGATGACTTCTTGCGGAGTCACATTGCCGACCGTGCGACGAATCCGCAAATATATCAGCGGCCTCGGCTTGTGCATCACCGTTGAATGCTGCAAGCGAATCGCGTTGGGCAAAATGCATTTGGAAGTGTCCAAAGATTTTTGTATGCGTGTATCGAGATTGGTTTGAGACTTGCAGAGGCTTTGGATGAAAATCATTTCTTAGATCTCTCGGTATTTTAGCAGAGGGTCTATAATTGGATACCCCTGTACAGCTGGAGTCAATCGAGTCAACCTTTTAGCGTTGGGGCGGCTGACGCAGGCTGAGTATCCCTCTCTTGTGCTCGAGCCAAAACTGTTCGTAATATTTAACGCAAGTGGCATTTTTTCCCCTTCAAGTTCACTAGTTTGCCAAACCTTGCGAACTAGAGCAGTAACGCGTCATCGACAAAAGCAGATCGTATCTTTCATTTCTCATTCCGTTCAGCATGTAACATCTGTTACATAAAGCGTGCTTAATATTAACCGTGTCATCCCCCCCCCCACCCCACCCCGGCCCTTCTGTAACCGTGACCTTTAAACAAAAGGCACGCTCCAGGGCTGCGTTGAGTAGTGCTCTCTCATCTAACGCTGGCTATTGTCTCAATTTAAACATCTAGTTCTTGAGAGCTGAATTGATGAGTGCGTTGCGTTTAAGACAACATCCTTAAGAAACACGGCAATTGCAAAAACGACGTGAACTTTGTGAGATAGGCATAGTTTATAAAGGCGATTACTGGACGAGACTTTTCAATCAGCATTCCAGCAATATAAATGGGTACAACACAGTTAGTGAATCGGCAGGTTGTGCATAGTGGGGTGAGCCTTGCTACTCCCACCTCTTCCAAGATATCTGGCCAATGTGGAAGAGTAGGCCAAAAAAAACGCCCTCTTCGAGGTCCTCCAGTGGTGGACCTTCCATGGGCATGAGCTTGCAGAGCTGCACCTTTTACACCTTCACCAAAAAGGCATGGCAACGTTCATGTGACTCTTGCAATGCTGCACCAGAGTTACATATTACTTGAGATGAGAACGTTTTCAGCTGTGACTCAGCGTTAGTCCGATTTGGAATTCACCTCTTCTCTCCCTGTAAATGATAGAAACACAAATGACAGTATACAGTGTTATCGTATTCCCCCACAGATTATGAGACACACTTTCCCGCCCCCCTGTATTTTAATGCAAAAGTTGGGGGGGTGTCCATCTTATCATTCGGTAGGTGTGTTCAGATTCATACAACTTTATTGACACTGTGCACAAGAAGTTAATCTGGAGGATACGGCAAATTACAATATACAGCCATTCATCAATTCAGGTCTTGCCCATGCAATGACAGTCACGTGGGTTGTTTGGCCACTACATCACCGCACTGGTTAGTATGGTTTGGTGAGGAGGGTACCCCAGGAAGGGTTTTGATATTACTCACAACTCTTGTTAGCCATGGCTGGGAATCAAATCGTTCGATTGTTTTTGCTCCAATTTCTACTTGCTTCATCGTTGTACTTTGTTATTGCTTCGCTTTTTTTCATTTTGGTGAACCCAGCTCAATGAGACCGTCTTGGTCTCTCGAGTTCTCAACGTGTTAAACAAAATAACCGTGAATCTAAACTGGACCTCATAGCATGGTGCCTCTAACCACTATGTTAAAATCATGCAAATGTAAGTTATATTTTCATACCGATGAATACGAATATATTAAATGTTATTGACCTTATTCTGATCAGGGAATGCAAATTATAGCGTCTTTTTGTGATCTTAAAAAAAAAAAATTAAACGGACGAAAGCGATGCAGATGTCTTTAAACCCTCATTACCTATGGAGTGGCAGCCAAGGGGCCATCCACCGAGGAGATGGAGCGACAAAATCTGCTAATTTGCAGGGGCCAGGTGGATTGTTCCATTGCAAGACAGGGACCATGAGCGATGGTGACGACTTGGGGAGGCCTTAATATCCAGCAGTGGATCGTTCAATGTCGATGATGAATGATTTAAAACAATATTAAAATAACTATCCTTTTACAGAAATGTCTGAGCAACTGCGATGTTGATGTAATTCTGTGTTTCTCCATGTGAGCTAAGCAGTGCTTTTCTGATGCAGAATGGCCAGAAATGTATAATAATAATAATACGGTTACCTATTCAGTGTTTTATTTTCATCTATTGGCCAGGTGGAGAAGCTGTAGACCAATCGGTTACAAGTTCAAATTCCAGTGAGGGGGTCAGTCATCTCAACTTATCATCCCTCTAGAGTCAATAAAATGAGTACCAATTTTAGGAAAGTCAACAGTAGTTGTATGGATAGACTAACCCTTAGCAAATGAATGCAGAATTTCTACCAGAGGCTCAGCATGAGTTGAGTGAAACCCAACATACCCAATTGAGCAGGAGAGCACTGTTTATGTATAACTCTCAATGCGACTCTCCATAAACATACATTGTCTGCTATGTGCTGTCAGTCTTCACACGAAAGGAGCTTTACGAAACAAAGCAATGCCGCTTATGACACAAAGAATATACAAATACACCAGCAATGTACGATAAACAATGCCTGTCATAACACACATCACCACCATTACCATCCCAACAACCTCGCAACAAATATGAACGTGTGAGAAGTGAAACCAACCCAGGGGACAGGCTGCACAGTGTAACGTTATTGTGTTTTGAGGGCATTTGACAGTGGAGGAAGGGGTAATGTGTCTGCACTGATGTCTGGGTCACCGAACTGGACTTTAACAGAACTTCTATAGAAGACGCGTACGTGGCTTTTGAACACGCGTGTTTGCGGATGATTTCAGGTATTTCAGGGCAGACGGGCGTTATGTACGCGTGTAAGTGCACAGCCCTTTGTCATTCCACTGCTGGATAAGGGTCTCCAAATGGCATAGGAAGTCGTGGGGTGTTGTTTGACCATACTTAGTCACACAGGTCAGTGTGGGTTTGGCGAAGACAATGGATTTTCCTTCCCTGGCCTCTGCTGCCACCCACGAAGACAATGACCCCCGTATCGCCTTAACAAATTGGTTGGGGCAAGTGCTGTTAGCGAGCACCTATGAAGGCCGGAACGGCACACGAGGGGGAGGGTGGCCAGCACCACGCCCGACCGTCTTTGTCTCCCCAGTGGCGATGTTCAAACATCGTGCCAGGTACTCATTTGATGCTGAGTCGATCTAGGGGAGGCCCAGGACCACGTTTAGATAATTGTCACTGGTGTTGGCCGTGAGCGGGAATCGAACTCGGGTGGCCGGGTTCGAAGCGCGGCGCGCTAACCGCTCCCCACCACACGCAGCTTATAACACTCATTACGTATGGTGTTTACCAATCCAAGCACTATCCAGGCTCGCACTTGCTTAGCTTGCGAGATCTGACGAGATTATAGACAAAATAAAAAATAGCAGCCTTTGATGGGCATGTCCTGTGCACACGCTTCAGGAGGGCAGCTCACAAAGACAGGCACTTAGAGACTGGCGGCCAAAGGGAAGACCGAATGCTGGACAGCGGCAGTGATGAAACAGTAAGAATGGTCCTTGAAGGGCAAATGTCGACTGTATAATAAGGGGATGATGTGAAGCTAGAACGTGGCCGCGATGTTAATGATGCTTGGACTTTATAAAACACCGTGGCATCTATACTAAACTCCTTAAAACAAGCACATTTTAAACAACGGTTTTAATCACAACTGGCGCGCCTAAAACACGTGGCGCCTGGTTCTTGGGCGAGGCGATGCGAGAGTTTGGGGACCGCGGCGTTTTTGACCGACACAAATATTTTTCAATAACAAGGCGTTCATACAAAATGTTAATTGTTTTAAAGTAGCAATTCAATCGATTTCATTGATGCCGATTTTGATACAGGCATGCATTGTCACCGGATCTGAGTACGTGTGCAAAATGTGAAATTGATTGGACAACGGGAAGTGGACGAAATTCTGATTACAAGATTTGACCCGGACAAACAGAGGAATCAAGTGAAGTAACACCGTTGAAAACAAAGGCAGGAAGCGATGGCGACATGTGGCATCGTCAACAGCGCTGGGTCGCGACAACCTCCCGGCACCGTCTCGTTCGTGTTCTTGCACTGTGTTGAACACACAAAACACAAAACAAATCACTGCAAGCCATTGCTCGGTCCCCAGCCTCACCCCAGACGAAGCTGTCTAATTTCTCCCCAGCGACGTAGAGACAGCCGACTGCCAGCACGGCAAGAGCGAGCAGCGCACCCAGCACAGGACGTGCGAGCCGTGCCAGGAGTGGGTAAACGGAGATCCCAGCCGCCTGCTGCACCCACAGAACCCTGCAAAGAGAACACGGTGTTTTGTATTCGCGGACGGCTGAGGAATTGAGTGGCGCTCCGTCGCTATCCATTTTTTATTATAATACTCACATTGTTTACTGCGAATGCCGCATATCCAGCGTCTTTGTGAAACCACTGCCAGATGACGGCGTCCCCGACTAACAAGAGCCATATATGGCGTGGGGCAAAAACAATGGCCCAAAATCTGGTTCCTCCATTCTGAACTGCTCCTGCGTGACACCATTAAAACGGTACGGCCATTGTGTCAATGCACTGCTAGATAAGGGCTAGCCCCATGCCATGTGGGTCATGCGGGTTATTTGACCATTATTTGCGACTGTGGTCAGCGAGTGTTGGGGGGGGGGGAGCAGCAGAGACACAGGAGCATAGAAGTATAGTGCAACAATGCCTTTTGCTGCGCTTGGTCTCTGCTGCCCATACCTCCAGGGCTATCATTCGTAAGGCTGCATTGGCAATGTCAAACCAGACGCAGCGAGCGCCTATATCCGACCTCTGTTTGTATTCAGTAAAGCAGCCTTTAGGGTGGTGCACATTTGCGAATGTTGATGCTCGTAACTTGTACAAGCGGGCAGAAGTCAGACCGCTTTGAGCATGTGGCACTGACTTCATGACAGGCTTAATAACGAACTAAATATAATTGCGCTGTTTTGTGTAAGTGTTTTTTTTTTTCTTAGCGACAGTTGGTTTGTTTGCTTTATTCATTTTACCCGGATCCCCTTCCATTACAGTATTTGCCACTCTGGTCAGTGAGTATTAGTGAAAGCTGGGGATCCGGGGAAAAAAAACAGTTCTTTAAAAGGATTCTAACCTGGCAAGAAGTTAAATAATTCACAGCCTTTTGTTAGTCCACTTTTGGGGAAATGCCTCCCCATGCTTTGTCAATTATGGGGGTTGTTTGACCATATTTCACCATCCCTGGTCAATACGGGTTCAGATATCACTCGCCACTGATGTTAGCCATGGCCGGGAGTCAAGCTCAGGTTCTCAACAAGTTCGTAGTGCGGTGCGTGATGGACAGTATCGCACCATCGTTCTTCCCGAAGCAAAAGTATGCATGTGTAATGTGATTAATCTCTTCAGCTGGAGTGGCACAATTGCTAATGGAAGGTTGGAAATTCGAATTCCGGTCGGCACTTCACATGTGGTCATTAAATTAGTACCACCTTGTGGGAAGTCAATAGCGGTTGCTTTATGGAGAGACTGACCACCTCCAGATTTGAAGCTTTCGTGACTGCAAGGATCCATACGTTTCGGCCACAACACAAGTGGCCTTCATCAGGTGAAGGGACCAAACTGTCCAGAGGACAGCGTTGGGGTGAAGAAAGCCAAGCACAGGTTGCCTCCTTTAAACTGTGACGCAAAATAATTCTCTCATCAAAACGTTATACCACAGGGCTCATTGCATTTTGGACCAACACCACCTGACCAGTGAATTAAAACATGTACATCTGGCCCTCAAAAGGAACGGATACTCTGACCGTACCATCCGCCAAGCTGTTTCTCCCTCCATACAGAAACAACCACTTGATACTCCGATCAAAACCATCACACTACCATATATAGCAGGCGTTACTAAAAAGATCTCCAAAATTCTAAACAAACACAAGATCCTGGTCCGGTTCAATACAGTACACAAAATCCGTGACCTGATCCCTTCCGTGAAGGATGTTATTCCTGACTTACAGTATCCCGGAATTTACAGATTGATCTGCACCTGTGGTGACTGCTATATCGGGGAGACGAAACAACATATCTCTGACCGAATTCGCGAGCACAAATCAAATTTGAAACACGGCAGAACGAATTATTCTGCCGTAGCTGATCACTGTTACAACACTGTGGGTGATCACGATATAGTTTTCTCCGGAACCAAGGTTCTCTGCAAACCCATGGGTTTTTATCAGAGATTTGTCCACGAGGCAATTCAGATTTACAAACACAGACACGATTTCAACCGAGAGGATGGTTTCAAATTAAGCAATCATTGGAAAGATGTTCTAAATCGAACCAAACATTAAACTAATTTTCAATGGTACAGTATATTTATTCAAGTAGTGGCATCCCAAACTCTCACGGTAGTACAGCATTTTATGCTAATTCCAAGCTTTCACAGTGGAACATTTTATGCTAATTCCTTTGTCAAGGCGTTTTCTGTTTACCCCCTCACAGCTTAAAGGACGCGACCTGGGCTTGGCTTTCTTCACTCCAACGCTGTCCTCTGGACAGTTGGGTCCCTTCACCTGATGAAGGCCACTTGTGTTGTGGCCGAAACGTCGTGATTTTTTGTTGTTTTATTTTTTACCTACGTGACTTTACCGAATAGAACCAAAGAGTATAGACTGACCACCACCAAAGGAATGTGGAATGTCCAACACTGGCTCAGGTTCGCCAAGTAAAATAGGTACTGCACCATTACTGTTGAACACAGAAACAAATGTCGTTTGAATATTGACCTATTCTTACTGTAATAGTAATATGAACCTTGGAAAGTCTAATTTGAGTCTTATAACTCTTTTTGTCTGAGTCATATTTGATAAATTGCCTTTTGAGCATTACTTTGCTTTATGCTGGGGGAAGCTGGAACACCCAGATAAAACCAAACTCGTAAAGCAAGCAATTAACACTCAACACGTCTGATCCAAGGAGCAACCTACTTCCTGTACCACCACCTCCGTGCCACCACCCTGGCCCGCAGGCACGTGCACATTTCTCACACAAGTGTGATCTCTACCTGATCCACCAACCCCAACAGGGAGCCTGTGCCGGTGTCCCGAAGCCTTTTGTGAACATCCAAGATTTCCGTCTCAGTTTAAAAATGTTCTGGTGTCATTTCCGATGACGACGGACCGTCATCGGAAAGAGTGAGGCTACTCAAATTGTAGTCGGGGCTTGTGGTGCATGAATATGCAAATGTGGCCATGACTAACAAAGAGAAGGAAGGACTGCCCAGCCCACCGTGTGTGTATGTTGAACATATTTCTCACCCGTATCTAGCCAACCGTGCTAATCGGAGGTGCGGGGGAAGGAAACAACAAGCAAAAACAACAAAACGCAGTTCTAAAGAAATTAGTTTCACGTCTATATTTAAAAGTGCACAGCTCCAGCATCTTCCTGATATCGGAAGAGCGTTCCAGAAGCGCATCGGAGCGCGCGCGATGCGGTGACCGCCTTTGCTGCGACGGCTCGCCACGTGCCCTGGTTGAGCCTCGCAAATCGTTTGCAGCAATAATATATTTGTACCTGATGATGGCTGTTTGTGTTGCAATCGAAACGTCGTATTCTGTTGTTATTTAATTTCTTTCTACGCGACTTTACCGAAAGAACCAAAGAGTAATAATATAATCAACCACTCCTCCAAAGCACCGTATTACAGGCACGCACCACCACCACCAAACACCACCACCACCACGGGTGGCCACCCATATGTAATCGCCACCCGTACACTCATTCCAAACGGTCACGACCAGAGGAGGCCTTTCAGTGGCAGTCGATCTATTCTTTCAGGGCCCGGGGATACATTGCTACAGCACAATAAATCATCGTGCCGGCCGCAGTGACTTGAGAAAGCGCATGTATTAAGTTGCTATTGAGTAACCCATACAGTGTGGGGTCAGTTTTGACTCGGGTTACCGTGGATTACATTTTCAAAAGGCACGGTAGCTCCAGCGAGCACGGCAGCCTCGGGATACTGTTACTACTAATGCGGTGGGCTTGGCAAGGTTTACTCCGCTCTAATAATCATAATTGATATCGATTTACAGGCGAATCCACTGCTGGATGAAGCAACTTGGCAAATCTGTTGCCGTTTGTTGAAAATGTGCCATCCGTGTGGAGGACGCGCGTGCTCGAGAGGCAAAGCATGACACGGATGACCTCAAAACGGTGCACAATGAACGGCATCGACGCACGGTGGTCCGCGAATCACACGTTGAGGGGGGTGGCAGTGGGCCAGCGGATCAAGGGGAGGTCAGGAACTGTCGCTCTATACAATTTTGCAAAAGGACACGCTTGACCCCCATTCGTAACGCAACGACGTTGCGACGTAATTTTATGTCTGTTGAAGGCGAACGACGAAGCAATCTATTCCCTTTCGACGAGCTCCACACTATGCGCTGATTCAAGTTTTGTTTCTGCTGCGCATTCGTCCTCGCCGCTGTGCTTGGACACGACATGACGGCGACTGGATGATCCGCGCCTGGCGGGTCGCGGCATTTATGTGCGCGGCGTGGGACGGAGTCGCCAATTTTCTTTTTTTACTAATTACGATTTTCACTTCCGTTTATTCGGGACCCCGGGGTCCCGCCATAAGGTTCAAGTGTTGAGTGTTCTCCGCCCCCCCCCCCCCCCCCGCCGCCCCCTCCTCTAACGTGTGCTTCACTGAGTAAACTGCCTCCCTGACCACATCGGATGAAGTATTATGCTAATATTTAGGCGAAGTAGCTCGATGGCTGACCAGGCTGATGCACATCAGCATTATACAGCATCAACGGTTCCATCCCCACTTTTCGGTGGGGGTTTTAAACACTTTACGTTGTTTAACGGGCGTTTTTTTTTTCCAGGGTTTTTGTTTGTGTGTTTGTCAGAAACTTGGACGTATTCCGATTACGCGTTGACGTCACGCGTTGACATCTCGCAGAAAGAGACGACCCCAGAATTAACAGCGTGCATCGCCGCGAATAACTCGCTGCTTCTCACCCAGCGTCACGCCGGCGCCAACCCTGAGCGGTCAGTTGAGCGGCCAGATCACGACCGCGCAAACGTAAATCGCCTGCCGCTCCTTTTAGTCCACAATCTGAGCTGGCGGTTGTGCAACGGTGACGTCGCAACGGTGACATCGCAACAGTGATGTCGCAACGGTGACGTCGCAACGGTGACATTTGCAGCGGTGACATCGCAACGGTGACGTCGCAACGGTGACATCGCAACGGTGACATCGCAACGGTGACGTCGCAGCGGTGACGTCGCAACGGTGACGTCGCAACGGTGACATCGCAACGGTGACATCGCAACGGTGACATCGCAACGGTGACATCGCAACGGTGACGTCGCAACGGTGACATCGCAATGGTGACATCGCAACGGTGACGTCGCAGCGGTGACGTCGCAACGGTGACATTGCAACGGTGACATCGCATCGGTGACATCGCAGCGGTGACATCGCAACGGTGACATCGCAACGGTGACGTCGCAACGGTGACGTCGCAGTGGTGACGTCGCAACGGTGACATCGCAACGGTGACGTCGCAGCGGTGACGTCGCAATGGTGACATCGCAACGGTGACGTCGCAATGGTGACATCACAACTGCACGCTTTATGGATTGCAGCAACCGGTGACATCGCAACGGTGACATCGCAACGGTGACATTGCAACGGTGACATCGCAACGGTGACATCACAACGGTGACATTGCAACGGTGACGTCGCAACGGTGACATCGCAACGGTGACGTCGCAACGGTGACGTCGCAACGGTGCCGTCGCAACGGTGACGTCGCAACGGTGACGTCGCAACGGTGACATCGCAACTGCGCGCTTTATGGATTGCAGCAACCGGTCGCAGGTCGCGAGCGCGTCGCGCGACGAAATACTCAGCGACGAATCGCTGAGCGGATCGCCGCTGGAGAGTGGAGTTGTCTTGAGTGAGAGAAAACCGGTTGAGTGGCTGATCGCTCAGGTGTGTGGACCCGGGTTTAGAGAGGACGTGACATATCAAGAGTGGTTGTTACGCAACAATCGACCTACATTTTATTCCGCAGAGTTGGAACGGTCCCCGATCAGTCGAGGTTCCAATAAACAAGGTGGAGTGGTGGCACAGCAGTTAGCACACTACGCTTGCCAACGCAACAACCTGAGCGTGATTCTGGGTCACAGCTAACATTGGTTACGAGTGATATCTGAGCCAGTCATGAACCCTCTCCTTCACCGACCTGCACTGACCAGCATGATGAAGTATGGTCAAACAACCCCATGACTGACATGAAGAGGCCTTAATCCAGCAATAGATTAAAAAGGACTTTAAACATATATACAGACACAAGGTCGTCTCTCAATATGGAGTGCAAATAGAATACAAAATATATATTTCGTTCATTTCTCGGCCAATGTTTGTTTAAGGAGGCAAACTCCGGACTGGTCTCGACTTTCTGAGTTTCGTCAGCATTGTGTTACTTGTCACACAAATGCTGCTAGATGTATTGGTGGACAGCAAGAGCACTCCACCAACTTCTGGAATGCTGATTTATTTTTATATTCAGGGATGAGACGCCTAACCTGCAAGTGCCTGAAACCCACATTTGATACCCAACATCTTAGTGGTTTTGGCTCATTGCTCAGGTATGCATTTTGAGCCCTCTCAGCCAGTTTTTTTTCTCAATTGCTATTCTCGTGACCCAGCACAGTGCACTATTTCATTGCAGTATTACCTTCATGTTCTGTTCATATACAATAATAATTTACATTTACAAAGCGCCCTTAAACAATCGTTCTTAGGGCGCTATGCATGAAAAGGCGGAAATACATCAACCAAGGAAAGGTGATGTAACAAAGACCTTTGAAAGTAACTAAAGAGAGAGAGGCATTTTAAACAGATATGTTTGTAGTCACGATTTGCAGTGTCTTGGAAGTCGTGACCTCGAAGGGCAACGAGTTCCAGAGTTTTGGTGCCACAATTGCAAAAAGCACCGCCACCCCCAAGTGTGAAGCCTCGACCGTGGGACAGTGAGTAATGCACAATCCGAGGATCTTAATAATCTCGATGGAATATATGGCTGAAGGAGGTCATGAATGTAGGGAGGAGCAAGTCCATTTAACGCCTTGAATACCAGCAAGAGAATCTCAAAATCATGACTGGTACGGTGAGGGAGCCAGTGATGGGACAGGAGGACAGGTGTGAAATGATCCTTAAAGGGTGTAGGAGCACAATCGAAGCTACTGCACAGGGCGTGCACCTGTGGTTGGTAGTCATGGAACACTGCTGTGGTGGGCTGCGAGGACTGGAGTTGAAGCACTGCTGCAAACCGCAATTGTCCAGATTTTCTATGTATTATGATATTATAAATATGATTATGTTCCTTGAAAAGGCTCCCCCCCCCCCCCAGCTTCCCCCTACCACCCCTACAAACCCCTCCGATCATCACCCTCCTCCACCACCACTGCCGGCGCTCCCAAGGACCCTTGAACTTCAATTTCCATTGGCTCACCTCGAGTCGTGACAATGACACCATCAATAATGACAATGCCTTCAAATCTTAATTGAGGTCGCAATGTGAAATCTCACGCACCGCCTGCCACGCAGCCCCAAGACCTCATCGCTCCTGCCGCGCGGCTGAGCTGGGCCCACAGCCCCTGCTGCCGCTCGACCGCTCTCCCATCCCTCGCACGGACGCCTGAGTCTAGGGAGTGCGATAACTTTGCTCAAGCCGGGTTTGACGCGAGGTGCCCAACCAAGTTTCCCTACCAGCCGATGTAGGCGACGCTGAAGAGAACGGTGCCGAGGAGGCCCATGGCTCTGCTTGGGTAGCGATGTGGCGTCATGAGGATCTCCAAGAGCAGGAAGAGCAGCACGGTGCTGTGCTGGGGGTAACAGGGGGGGAGCGGGGAGCGGGGAACGTGCGCGTGTTTTTTTTTTAACAAAAATCCCCGAACTCGTGCATGTGGAGCGGTGATCGCTGGCGCTGCAGAGTTTGAACCCGTGAGCAGGGCCGGGTTTAGGTTTGTTGTAGTTTTGCGGGGCACCTATCTGTATTTTCACTTCATTCCCTTGATTGTTAAATACCTCCACCTGTGTCCGTGTTGCTTAGCTTGGCTATGCACGAATTGTAAAACTAAATGAAGATGAAAATTAACGACGAAAAAACATTTACATTTTAGCCCATACAGTGAGGGAGAAAAGTATTTGATCCCCTGCTGATTTTGTACGTTTGCCCACTGACAAAGAAATGATCAGTCTATGATTTTAATGGTAGGTTTATTTGAACAGTGAGAGACAGAATAACAACAACAAAAATCCAGAAAAACGCATGTCAAAAATGTTATATTTTGATTTGCATTTTAATGAGGGAAATAAGTATTTGACCCCCTCTCAATAAGAAGAATTTCTGGCTCCCAGGTGTCTTTTATACAGGTAACGAGCTGAGATTAGGAGCACACTCTTAGAGGGAGTGCTCCTAATCTCAGCTTGTTACCTGTATAAAAGACACCTGTCCACAGAAGCAATCAATCAATCAGATTCCAAACTCTCCACCATGGCCAAGACCAAAGAGCTCTCCAAGGATGTCAGGGACAAGATTGTAGACCTACACAAGGCTGGAATGGGCTACAAGACCATTGCCAAGCGGCTTGGTGAGAAGGTGACAACAGTTGGTGCGATTATTTGCAAATGTAAGAAACACAAAATAACTGTCAATCTCCCTCGGCCTGGGGCTCCATACAAGATCTTACCTCGTGGAGTTGCAATGATCATGAGAACGGTGAGGAATCTGCCCAGAACTACACGGGAGGATCTTGTCAATGATCTCAAGGCAGCTGGGACCATAGTCACACACTACGCCGTGAGGACTGAAATCCTGCAGCGCCCGCAAGGTCCCCCTGCTCAAGAAAGCACATATACATGCCCGTCTGAAGTTTGCCAATGAACATCTGAATGATTGAGAGGACAACTGGGAGAAAGTGTTGTGGTCAGATGAGGCCAAAATGGAGCTCTTTGGCATCAACTCAACTCGCCGTGTTAGGAGGAGGAATGCTGCCTATGACCCCAAGAACACCATCCCCACCGTCAAACATGGAGGTTGAAACATTATGCTTTGGGGGTGTTTTTCTGTTAAGGGGACAGGACAACTTCACCGCAAAGGGACGATGGACGGGGCCATGTACCGTCAAATCTTTGGTGAGAACCTCCTTCCCTCAGCCAGGGCATTGAAAATGGATCGTGGATGGGTATTCCAGCATGACAATGACCCAAAACACACGGCCAAGGCAACAAAGGAGTGGCTCAAGAAGAAGCACATTAAGGTCCTGGAGTGGCCTAGCCAGTCTACAGACCTTAATCCCATAGAAAAAATATGTGGAGGGAGCTGAAGGTTCGAGTTGCCAAACGTCAGCCTCGAAACCTTAATGACTTGGAGAAGATCTGCAAAGAGGAGTGGGACCAAATCCCTGCTGAGATGTGTGCAAACCTGGTGGCCAACTACAAGAAACGTCTGACCTCTGTGATTGCCAACAAGGGTTTTTCCCACCAAGTACTAAGTCATGTTTTGCAGAGGGGTCAAATACTTATTTCCCTCATTAAAATGCAAATCGAATTATAACATTTTTGACATGCGTTTTTCTGGATTTTGTTGTTGTTATTCTGTCTCTCACTGTTCAAATAAACCTACCATTAAAATTATAGACTGATCATTTCTTTGTCAGTGGGCAAACGTACAAAATCAGCAGGGGATCAAATACTTTTTTCCCTCACTGTAACTGGTAGTAATACAAATTGCTAGCCCGTGGATTCACCAAATGACCTATAGGGTGCATCACTACGGTGTTGCATTGCAACCATTATAAAGCAGAGAACAGTACATATTTTAATTACGATTAAACATTCCGCGTCACGTTCTCTCTGTGGCACAACTGATGACACTGGCAGGTGAGCTGACCGCGGGGTCGAGCGATGTAACCGAGCAGTTCTGCGCCATCTGAACACAGCGGCTTGGTGAAAGATGGCGAGTTGTTCCGATCCGTGCGTGCGCACGCTACTTATTTGGTTTTGAATGTTGTATTCTCAGCCGTATTCCACTTTTTTGTTGGTGGGCCACTCAAAAAAAAACAAGGAGTGGCCCCCCGTGAGCTGCAGGCCCTAAAGCCACCCGCGTTAGCCGCGCATTGTCCACGAGCATCCCTCCCGGAGAGAGCCTCACCATGCCGTGGTGGAGCCAGGCGGGGATGAAGGAGTCGAGCACCTCCGGATGGACCATCTCTCTGTCCCAGGAGTACATGGCCCAGAAGGCTATGACCACAAACTGTGGGGGGGGGAGGGGGTGGGCGGAAGAGACACAGGAAACCGAAACACACAACCCACTTTCTGCCTCTGAGTGTGAGTCCAGACTGACCGTTATCTCACCCCTACTGTGTTCAACCACCGCACAGCAGGTGGCAACCCTTTCTCCTTCTGCTTCTTTTTCTCGCGCTGCTCGACATTGGAATTCCTATCGTAAGGCAACGAGAGCTCGCAAGGGATTGGGGAGGCTTTCAATCCATGGCTGACGATGATAATGAATGTGACTTTGGTCATTCAAGGTGTGAAAATGTCATGAAGCTGCATGAAAAACGATGCACAGATTTGTTTCATTCAACACGAGAGGGGTCACATGAGGTTAACCGTAAAGAATGGCAGTGCTCTATCCTCCAACTGCACGACCACTCATCACGAGGACACGTGCGGATTTTGAGGCCGTCCTGAAACCGGGATTACTCACGGTCCCAATAGGGAAAGCGAGGACGGTGAAAATGCGATCCCGTAGCCGCGTGAGCTTCGTGAGCTGCTGATCCATCGCCAGGCCGCTACCGCCCTGGTGCAGGAACTTGGAAGCATCTCCCAAGACCGCGACGGCAAAGAAACACGTTTGAATGACCTTCAAAAATACACATTACACACGGACAAAGGCACAATGCGCACTTAACCCAAAGCATAAAGCGATGCAATGCAGAAAGTCATTATGGGCATAATGTTGATGTGTGACATTTCGCCTCCATCACCTCCAAGGTGTGTTTTCAGTATTCCACCACGTGGCTTTTTTCCATGAAAAGAAAAGTGGTTTCTTTTGTTCACTGAAACTCCAGTGATTCTCAATCCACCGATGGTTGAACGTCTCCCACAGGCCATGTTAGTCATGGGGTTTATTTTTTTTTACCTACCATACTTCACCACGCTGCTCAGTGCAGGTTGGTGAAGGGGGGAACTGAAAGAAGGACCGATTCAGATATCACTGGCCAATGATGTAAGCCGTGGCTGGAAATCAAACTCTGGTGGCTAGGTTCATGGCGCAGCGTGCTAACCACAGCAGCACCACTCACTCTGAGTGCCCACGCCAAACCTCGTCGCCGTAACGTCCGCTGCTCCACCCTGCACATACCTCCTTTACCCGATTACATCGGCAGGGCTTTCTAGCGTGAGATAAATCTCAGTCGTAAATCTTTCGATTTTAATCATTAATCTTGGCAACGGATCCAGAAATTAAAGATTTAGGCTGTAATGCATCATGGGGAAAACCCACGATGTATTTTTTGCATGGCCCGCGTGGGTGTTGAATATGCATATCAGCCTGTTTCTGAGCCAACGCAGACTTTCACAATGTAACCCAAGAAAATACGTTACGTTCACCCCAAAACATGTGCGGTTCCTGTATATTGTTCGACAAAGCTTCGCACAAGGACACTTGACTCCAACAGCCCACGTAAAAAAAAAAAACAAAGATCCACCGTATAGCCTTAACAGACTGTAGGGGCAAGTGCTGTTAGCGAGCACCTATGAAGGCCGGAACGGTACACGAGGGGGTCGGTGGCCAGCACCACGCCCGACCGCCTTTGTCTCCCTAGTGGCAATGTTTTTATCCACCGCACCAGGTACTCATTTGAGGCTGATTCGACCTAGGGGAGGCCCTTGGACCGGTTCAGATAATCGTCACTGGTGTTGGCCGTGAGCTGGAATCGAACCCGGGTCGCCAGGTTCATAGCGCAGCGCGCTAACCGCTACACTACCGCTCCCCACGTAAAAAAAAACACAAATACAATGGGGGGCGGGGGGGGGGCGACTTGCCCGTAAAAAACAACCACATGCGCCGTGCAGGCACGCACACAGGCACACAGGCACGCACACAGGCACACAGGCACGCACACAGGCACACAGGCACACAGGCACGCACACAGGCACGCACACAGGCACGCACACAGGCACGCACACAGGCACACAGGCACGCACACAGGCACACAGGCACGCACACAGGCACGCACACAGGCACACAGGCACGCACACAGGCACGCACACAGGCACACAGGCACGCACACAGGCACGCACACAGGCACGCACACAGGCACACAGGCACACAGGCACGCACACAGGCACGCACGCGGTGGGGCCCAAGCCAAACGTCCGCAACGACTCGACGGGTCCCGGGCCATGTGCGCTGGCTGCACCACGTGACACCGGAATGAGTGCGGTTCGTGGAGCTCTTTCCCGAGACATAGTGGGCGTCATTGTGCAAGTGTTTTCTTAGCCTGCAAGTAACCCCCCCCACCTCCTCCTCCTCCACACCCACCCCCTCCAACACTGCACATAGGAACCAGGTATGTGTGGTCATGCTTTCAAAACATACAGCAAGCAGCCCACACAAACTTAAAAGTCTGCCCCATGTCTACTCGGGGGGGGGGGGGGGTGGTTGAAGCTCGTTATGGAAATGTGATAGTTCACTCAGCCAAAGGCCAGTAACGCAGGTGAAAATGGAAGCGTATAACATACATCAATATAATAATAGCGACAAGCATTGTTCAAGTAAGCAAGGTATCCATGATACAAGCCTCTCTGGTGCTCACTCTGACGCATTCACGTTCATTCAGGCGTGCTCACGACGACCACGATTTGCGAAGGTGTTTGCACCAGGTTTGGCGCACTTTCATGTTAAGTGCAAAAGGCTTGCTGGGAAGTCATGGGGAAGGTCCAGGTGTTCTTGGCTAACCAACTGAGATGACTGACAGATGCGTCACTTGCACTCCTCACTGCCCAGCAATGTTAATAGTTGAGAGCGTCGCTTATTTGCTTTCAACTGTTGCTGGAGGACGACTGGTTCCAGCTGCCCAGCAGGGCTCTTTCACGAACGTCCTCTACAGAGACCGATGCTGACACTATTGGTGCTAGTCACTGCCAATTCCACTCGCCTACAAGTCTTCTTTGCCACGTTAGTCCATCCGATCTTAAGCCTGGACAAATATAAGTGTCACGGACATGCGAGATGTATATTCTTGGTTCTTTCGGTAAAGTCACGTAGAAGGGAAACAATATAATAATAAAAATATAAAACAATAAAATTCTCACGACGTTTCGACTGCAACGCAAGCAATCAAAATAACCGCCACTTTTTTCAAATTTTCTTGCTGTGGTTTTCACACCTGATGATGATTGCTTGTGTTGCAGTCGAAACGTCGTGAGAATTTTAGTTTTATATTTTTATTATTTCATTGTTTCCCTTCTACGTGACTTTACCGAAAGAACCAAGAATATGAATCCCTGCAGTCACGAGAGCTTTAAATCATACATGTGAGATGTAGTATGGGTTTGTGAGCTACGTAACCCAGCCAACACATACTTACCTGCCGGAGGAGCTCACTGACGGGACTGTCTCCAAATCTTTCAAGGTTCTGTGAGATCGCACAATTCCTCCTGGTTACACCAAGGATGGATGGTTGAAACCAGGATGGATTGTAGGCAGGCCAGCTGGCACAGGTGTTTAAACGCATAGAGAGGCCATGATAGAGATTGATGTGAAGTGACAGGCCTGGCAGAGTTTACAGCATTACACAGCCGATCTAAAAATAATTCCACTCGACTGATTTGGGATGAGACCTCTGCTGCCAAACTGGAGCTGGCCATAGGCAGACTGGTTTCGACAGTCCCTGCACACATTTAGTTATGAAGAGCTCAGACTCCAAATCTCTTTTTTCACGGTGGTTGGCAACTTCCTCCAACATTTGAAGCTCCACAGCTCTCGCATTCTCAGCCCTCCTGGCCCCATGATGCTGTGAGGATTGAGGAGTTATTTCTGCCTCGTGACCTCACCAAAAATGTGCAGCGGAGCTGTGGACCTGATCCCCGCGGTTAGATGTGAGATAATAATTCCTCCCATTAACAAGGCTGTCAATAAGAGTATCGCTATGAAGCAGTTTCAGTGCTGTTAAAGAGATATTAGTGGTCCGCTCAAGCTGTCTGAATGTGCATATCGTAATGTCAAGAACAAGCGTCCACATTCACTGTTCCAACACTGCATAGTTCGGCAGAAGCTCTTGGAACTGGCGTACTTGGAACTAGCATATGTGGATGCACTTGTAACAGAACAGCGTGTTCGTTGTAACAAGCCAACGGGATGCACGAAAATCTCGCAGTCTCCTATAATTATTGTGTAGCTGACTTGGTCAATGCATTTCAGTCACTCCCACCTAGGTGCTCCCATATATTTGGGCATTAAAGTCACTTAATAAGATTGTTCTCTTCTGAGGGGCCAATTTATCCCACACCTGGGAAATTAGGTCACAGCAAGTATCTGACTGTTCAGCCTTGCCTGCATCCCACCATGGATGTTTTAGTACGTTGGGAGCATCGACAGCCACCGCCCGCCACAGTTCCGTTTTTCGCCTCCTGTTGATCTGGAGCAGAGTTCACCACATCCTGGGACTTCTCTGCCACTCAGGCACAACCTTACATGCACACAAGACCAAGATCCCCCTTTTATAGCCTTGAGCAGACTATTGGTGCAAGTGCTATTAACGAGCACCTATTAAGGCCGGCACGGCACGCGAGGGGGTGTGGGTGGCCAACACTGTGCCCGGCCGCCTTTGTCTCCCCATTTCTGATGTTAACACACCGCACCAGGCACACGAGTCATTTGAGCCATATCGCCCTCGGCGAAACCCACGACTGGTTCAGATATTCGTTACTGTTATCGGACATCGAAGTCAAGCCTGCGGGTTCGTAGCGAAGTTATTAAATGCGCGCGTGCACGCACGCCAACACACGTGCTGTGCACATTCGCACTCTGATACACAAGTCGAAATACTGCACAAGCACACTCACAGCGCTCTCACGCACACAACAGCAGCCGCCATTCACCACTAAGTGGCGTTGATGTCACTCCGGTGCTCGTGTTAAGCTCGGTGCACTTCGAGGCCACGTGAAGTGTGGAAGGCTCCAGCTGACAGGAGGTCGCGGGATTGACCCGAGAAGTGCCACGGATCGACTGAGATGGCTGCCAGATGCACCACCTGTGCTCCCTACTCTGCCAACTCGCCGCTTTGTAGTTGCCCGGCGCTCCGCTCGTACACACAAATTCCCCACATAGCCTGAACATCATTTTGGGGCAAGTGCCGTGAGCGGGAACCGATAAAATCCGGCACAGCACACGAGGGGGTGGGTAGCCAGCACCATGCCCGTTGTAGCCCTAGTGGCGACATACACACATCGCATCAGGTACTTATTTGAGGCTGAGTCGATCTAGGGGAGGCCCAGGACTAGTTCAGATAATCGTTACTGGTGTTCACCGTGAGCGGGAATTGAATTCTGCTCGCCAGGTTCGTAGCGTACAACCGCTCCCCACACACACACACACACAGACTCACACACATAGCGTGCATGGATGTGTGGCTCTACCATCCTCTTCGTGATTAAGAGCTCAAGAAGAGCAATGCAAAGCTGCATGACGAATGTGAAAATTATGACTCAGCGTGAAGTAGGGCATTCCTCGACTTACGAACGAGTTGTGTTCCTGAGACACGTTCTTCAGTCGATTTGTTCGTATCTCTCACAACTCAAGATTCATTGCACGTACTGTAATTGAAATGCGTTATGGTTCAGCAACAAAGGGGCGCATTGCTAAACTCATCAATAAGAAGACACGTTTTTACATTTGCATGCCATCCTGTAATAAATACTGCACAGTGAATGAAACGTAAAATAAAGTAACGTGAACAAATAATTCAGTTTTATTTCCACGTACCTTGAGTCCTGATTGCTGGGGCTTGCTCTTCAGAAAGGGCGCGCATCACGCGAGATGCTGGAACTCGTTAACTACTCGCGGGGGATCGCTCCGCCGAACAAAATCGCTCCGCGGTTCGGGTCGTAAGGTGGCCTTCCATAAATGACGTCACGCGATTTTGGACGATTTTTTCCCCCCCCCCCACCTCGTCACACGGCGTCACAAAAAGTCAGACCCCCCACTCAAATGTGACGTCACAAAGCTCTGCCCCCCCCCCAAAATAAAACATGCTTAAAATCGCTTTAAAGTATTGTCATTGTAGTGCGTATTTAATGTGCCGCTGCACTCTGATGTTGTAGGAGAAAACATTTATTTAAAAGTCTATTTAATTAAGTAGAACGTGTTGTCTATATTTATTTAAAGTTGCGCATTTTGATGTGACGTCACATTTCTCAACCCCCACCCCCCCTCGTCACACATCGTCACAAATGTCTGACCCCCCCCCCCCCAGGTGCGTGACGTCATTTATGAACGGCCCCTAAGTAAGGACGAAAGTTCGCAAGTCGGATGGTTAAACGTGATGATATCTTACGGCGGTTTGTTCATTAGTGCGGGGTGTTCGCAAGTCGTGCGTTCGTATGTCGGGGATTGTCTTACGGCTCAAATAACCCCCCACGCTTTTGCACCGTCATGTAAATATACAGATGTATCATAAAGTTGCCTCACATTGTCATTTCTACTAAACCACTACACAGGTTATTTGGGTTAGATCGCGTAAATATATAAATGTGTCGTTAAACCCGCCACCACCCGACACAAACCTTACTAATTGGCTGTGTCGGGTGGTGGCGGGTTTAGCGACACATTATATATCGACGCGATCTAACCCACCAAAAAAAAACCCTGTATTATGGATTATATTGGTCGCGAAAGCCTACGTGTTCTACTCAACCATTGCAGTACACTCTTGTCATTGACAGGCTGTTACCTTCCGAGTATACGCTACAAAACATATAATTAAATTATGTGCGCAACAAAAAAGGTTTTTACTTAACAATTTTAAACCATCGTAATCTTTTGGTACACATTGTGACATCGTGAGGTCATCGTCTCTTCAATAGGCTGCACAGTCAATGTTTGCCAACTTTTGAACATCGTGGCACGGTCTTTATTGTTGACCTTAACCGATTGCAATGAATCATTTAGCTTAAAGTTGATGGAAGTTCTGAACACAGAAGATCACAGACGAGATTATCATTACTCCCAACAGCATGAAAGCCTCGCATTCACGGTGTCGCCAATAACGCCTCTTCGATTGTGCCCGTGACATTGACGGGAACTGCATTACTTCAAAGCACACCACCAGTGACGTAATTAGCGACCCTTCACTAACAATTGGTGTGATGCTGCGCTTAAGTTTGGAGTCGCGGGGGGGGGGGGATAGGTGGCGCAGTGGTTCTCGCGCTGAACTTTGAAGCCTGGCGACATGCGTGCTGTGCCTGTCAACGGCTATCACACGTGGTGAGTGATATCTTATCCGGTCCTGGGTCCCTATTCTATTCTTGCGTATGGAAATGCAATATGTTCAGGCGCTAAATGCCAAATGTCGAGGCCTGCTAACTACGAGAGGGCTTCAGGAGAGAGTGTGTGTAGTTTTTTCTATTCCTCTATTGAAGGAGCGCAGACTACACATTGGCTTACTATGCGGTCCATAGTTGTGGTTGCATCGCCACAGTCGCACTACTCTGTGCCGTAGCTTGTGTTTAATTTCTCATTCATGAAGGAGACGTGGGCATCGGCTCGTGGATGTTCTCATGCGGTTGATGGTTACACCACTGTCTTCGAGGAATGTCAATGCCAGGAGGTGCGATGTTTCGGTCTCCAATGAGGTCCCTATAAACCAACCCGCTTGGACCAGCCTGTTGAAGTATGATCAAGCAACATCACATGACTGGTACGTCGCGGAAAGGCCTTCGTCCAGCAATTGATTGAAACAGCCAATTGCCACTGCTCTGTTTAGAATGTATGGCAGGTTTCTGTCGTAGGGTAATGTTTAGAGCTCTCTCAACTCGCAATCCAGAGGTCACTGGTTCGGTTCGATCTCCTACACACTCCTGTTCACCCAGCCGTGTGTATGAGGGCCCATACAGTCGCTTACGGTGGGGTAGAGTGTGGATACACCCCAGAGCCATAGCTGGCTTTGCATGTCGCCCAGGGCCAACGGCGCCTCTCTTCTCCACGATGTTGTGGCGTCGGCACCGCCTCACCAAAAATGTGAGCCACAAGGTGACACCATCGGCTACCTGATCCCACCCGCGGACCTTTCGACCGAGGCGGCCGATCCGGTCGCTACAACACCGGGTACTTCGACCTCGTCCAAGACATGTGGGCAGCGTGGAAGGGTAGGCCAAATACCCTCGACAGGAGCCCTTTGGAACTTCCTCCAGTGGAAGCTGTTCTGCCAGCAGTGTCGTGAACAAGAAATTACAGGGCTGCACCTTTAACACTTTTTAAATATTTATCGATGTGATGCGTGCCACCACTCACTGTGCATGAACAAAACTGACGCTCAAAGCACGGCACAAACGCCCTGCATGTTTGACGTTATATAGTGCGTGAAGTGTACACACCAGAATCGCAGTTTTCAACGTTGACGATGTTGACAATGGGTGTCTATTCTTGGAAACGAGAGTCATTGCAGGGTTAATACTGCGGGGATGAATGACTTAAGATGGTTATTACAAAATATGTGGTGATACTGCTTTGGCAGTGGTGCACAAATAACAAAGACCAACAAAAAGCACAACACACTCGTCAATAGCATGTGGCCTTAAAAGGAAAAAATATATAATAGGCGACGTTTCGAGCAATGGCCTTTCTTCATAGCATGTAAATAGAGAGGGAACTAGAGTTCTTAATAGGTGGAAGCCAAGTATGCACTATGGGCTTGATAAGAATTACATTTTAAAAGTGTTTCCTGATTAACAGTTTTAAATTGGCGTATGAATAGTTACATATACGAAGATATTGAGTAACGGACACGCCCTTCAAATAATAAAACATGTCTTATTACATAAAAGAACGTGCATTATTCCTGTGTGGATACGTACTTCGTGAGTGCACATTATGGTGTTCCAGACAGAACGGGTGTGCATTTCAAATGAGCATAAGCTAAACACGATGTCTATCCACTGCTGGATGAAGGCCTCCCCACTCCGTGTCGGTCACTAGGATTGTTTGACCATACGTCCGCATGTTGGCCAGTGCATGTTGGTAAAGGCGTAAGGTTCAGGGCGGGTTCAGATATTGCTCCCCGCTAATGTAGGCTGTGGGCGGAAAATTGAACACGGTTGTGCTGAGTTCATCGTGAAATGTGCTCACCATTGTGTCACCATTCATACGCACTGACTACAGAATCGCATAATGTATTTTACTTAAATAAATAAAATATTTGTGTACCTGCGAATAGCTAACGATAATGCATAAACTCCTAAATTCTCATATTTTCAAAGTTCCGCAATGCAGTCTCTAACTATTTCCCATCAACTATTATATGCATGCTCTCTCCTTGCTCTGAAGGGACATTGTCAATAACGTTAAACTCAATTTCCTCTGCAATAAGGCAATGCCCATGATGATGGATGGATGGTCTGTAATCTTTTTTTTAACTGGGTCTTTACAAATGTACTCTTCAAAATTTGGAACTCAATCGATAAATGGCAAAGCCCTTGACGAATAATTATTTTTGTGAATCTCTCAAGCCATATAGAATCGCAGTGAGCTGAGAAGAAAATCTGCACGGATTACATAATTCACACACAAATGAAGAAAAAAAACACGTTTTGAACCGTACAGCATCATGGGAAAAAAAACTGCAATGCATCATTGGAAAAGCACAGAGCACGTAAGACGTATAAGTGAATATTCACATCGACTCTTAAGCTCACGATCCACGCGTCGGCTTGCGTGTGTACGAATCGATGTTTTCAACTCGTAGATAGTGTATGTAATCGGTTGACGTGACCACTGCTCAGAGCAGTCCCTAATATTCGCTCCGTTAAACATGTTTCAAAATTATTCATTTTGAATCGAATTATGACCATGACACGCGGCGATTTATGGCATCACCGGCTACGAGTGAGGAGGGTTTAATTATTAGGTAAAACGCGCCGTATATTGTTAATATTATAAAAGTGGATTTTTCTTTTTACATGTGAAAGAGCAGACCATTGTGCTGTCTCCCAAATTTTAATTGTGGTTCTCACGACTTATTACATTAACAATAATAGATAGATACGCATATCTTCGCAGTATGTTAAATATTAATAGGAATGCTCGCATGGCATACATTCATTAATAAACCGCCGCTATGTATGCGGTTGCGGTGCTGTAGAATTAAGCTCACGGATGCAGTTCGCAAGCTGAGCCGTGTTCAAAAGAGTGCGAGTGTCCATAACCCAGGGACTCGACAATAACACGGGAGACCACTGCATCGTTTATTTGAAACAAGCAAGGAACGGGGTCTAAATACAGCAGTGACAGAGCCGAGACATGATCGCGGTAGCGCGTCGCATTACATACAGCAGCACTATCATGACCACCACCGCCACCATCATCACCACCACCACCATCAGCACATCTCACCACGTTGATGTAAGTGAGGAATTTCCAGCTGCCGCCGTATGTCTGCTGAGCTGGTATGTCCACCGCCCTGTAGGCGCAGAGCACTGAGAAATAGGCGAGCAGTATGGACACTCGCAACAGAGGTGCCGGAATCAACGCCATCGCCCTAGCCGTGCAGAGCATACTGGGAAATTTAAAAGCTCCCCGACGCGTCTTTACATCTCCCAGTCTACATCTCCCTCACTGATTCGCGCCCACAGTACTGAAACACTGTTTTCACGTCTAGAGGAGTTCACATCTCCCGCGAGCTAATACAGTAACCGCATCGTCATCTCACAGTCTGTACATACCCTGATGAGCGACCACTAAAAAAAAAACACATTGATACACCATACTGTACCACGATATTTTAAACAATAATAACGGCAATCGTCATCGCCCATTTTAATGTATGGACATATTCGGCGAGCACGTGTTGTAGTGCGTTTTGCAGCGTGGGGGCGCTTGTGCGTTTTCTCTCCAGTGCGTTGCGTTTGTTTGGGTCTGTTGGGGAGCAAAGACCAGCGCGGACTTGAGTGAAAACTCCAGGTTCTATTAAGCACAATCCCGCGTGTTCACAGCCGACACAGACAAATTAAGACAGAGATGTGGGGTTTGTGTTAAGCGCCATTGAGTGTAGAACAGCGGCACAGGAAGATTAAGGTGAAGCTGGACGCGGGTTCAGCACCCCCTGTATGTGGACAGCGACACAGGCAGTTGAAGGCCGACGGGAACTTCTATTGTCTTCAGCACCCCTGTATGTGGACAGCGACACAGGCAGTTGAAGGCCGACGGGAACTTCTCTAGACTTCAGCACCCCTGTATGTGGACAGCGACACAGGCAGACGAAGGCCGACAGTGACTTATCTTGGGTTCAGCACACCTGTGTCTGGACAGTAACGCAGGCAGGTGAAGGCCGACAGGCATTTGGGTTTTGTATTTAGAATCCCCTGCGAGTGGAGAGTAAAGCCGTCAGAGATAAATTTCAGAGATATTCAATGGGCATTATTTAACCAGGTTTGAGGTCATTGATGTACACATCTCTCTTACACGCGAGAGGTGGAGAATAAAATGTAGGGATGTCTACATATGACCTGTGTTTGTAGACTACGTGTAAAGGTTCGCGCGGAATTTGAAAAGCATAGAGCAATCGCACCCATGATTGTATGGTTGATGGAAGTGTAATTGAGTAGTTGTTGTGTAAGAGAGACCTTTGGAGAGTGTCATACAAAGGGAATTTTCCAAGTCATTGTACAGTGGCGTGTAGATTTGTTTATATTCATTAATTTTTCTAGGAAACCATCACTGAGTCTCAATACTGTTTCAGAAGGGTCATGCTTGAGATGCTCTCTCCATTGTTTTTTAATTACTTTTGGACCCGTGCAAGAAGAACACAGTGTCCAAATAATTAATACGAATGGATAACGATGAAAAAAATTGGCCCAGATAGATCTGCGAGCTATTAGCTGTATTACCAGGAGTATTAATTGTACTATGTAGCATCATTGCATGACGTGATTGCAACTGGAAATCAATACGTCAATATATTAATGTGTTTGAGCATCGGATGATGGTCATCTCACAATCTTTATTTGTCCTGGAGAAACCCGATGAGCTATGAAGCTCTTTTTCACAGATGTCCACAGATGAGCCAGCGATGGAAATTCCACATCCCATAGAATAAGACAGTCTTTCATAAAGGATGACCATTGCTAACCTCCCATAAATTGGTATAAGTGATACTAACCCTGAAGAGATGATTGGCTAAGTCAATAACTGAGCGAAATTCTAACTCAAAACCTTTCCGATTGTGAGTCTAGAGAGCTCTTACCACACCGCCATCTGGATGGAAAATGTCATTGTATTCCATTTATAACCAGCATTTGTCTAATTTAATAATGAAATGTCCAGGGTGAAATTCAAAATAAACTGGATGTCCTCGAGTGGAAATTTAATGCACCAAGTACGATTGGGCATTTATTTGTATGTGTTTTATTTATGGTCCCCGATGGTCAACATTCCTGGATGGGATTGGCATTAAACCAAGCAATAGAGCCAGAGCAGATGCGTCTGTCACGATGGAAAGGTTGGAGGAGGAAAAGTGTGACAACACAGCCTCGGTCACTTGAGCCATGTATGTGTGATGCGGTGGCTGCTCGCTGAGGCTCGAATAACCCTATTTTAAAATTTACATGTTATTTTTGTCCGTAGTCATTCATCCAAAAATAGCGGCCCAAGGTCAACGGGAAATTTAACATCCATCACAATGTTGTCATGTCTCGGCGAGAAGGCAATATGATCATTGCATTGCTGACATACGCCTAAAGGACAATTTGTTTCATCTCATCAAGAAATAAACTTAGATCATGTATTGTGTGTAAATTTGTACGGTTTAGGGTTTGAAGCAGAAGAATAGTACCGGATACAACCACATTTACCTTTGCGATTTTTTAACTTTGACCCTTACCCATGTATCGATAGTTGAATTTTAATGTGCACTTTTATTAAGGGATTGCGTGTTGTCGTGGTGTGGTCTGCAACTGTTTTTTTATATTGTTTTGCTGCCTTTCTCAAGCTTGTAGATTGATGTACTTATGCAATTTGTACTTCTATACTTTATTATGTTTTATTTTGATTTAAAGATTTCGTTACTGCAGGGATTCATATTATTCGTTCTTTCGGTAAAGTCACGTAGAAGGGAAACAATTGTTTTATATTTTTATTATGTTATTGTTTCCCTTCTACGTGACTTTACCGAAAGAACCAATAATATGTTTTATTTATTTAAGGGGCGCCTGGTATATAAGAGGTCGTGGGTTTAATCCGGACTCTGACACCTGTATCTGTGGAGTTTGCGTGTTCTCCCCGTAGTCACACGGGTTTTTTTTTCCTCCGGGTCGTCCAGTTTTTCCCTCCGCATTTAGAAACATGCATTTAGATTATTTGGCTACTATAAATTTCCACGTAATTAGCCACTTCATTGAGCGTTTAGTTATTTCAGAAAAATAACTAATAGCTCAGTGGGCTTTACCTGGTAAAATAAAATGAAAATTGTTTAGTTTTAGATTCTTTCTTGTTTTTAGTGATTTGCTTACCTTTCCTATACTTTGCACTGCTATCGTTTTTGGATTTCTCCATTCAATTGTGTAGGTTTTACTTACCCACACACGTGCAGCCCTTTTGTCCATTCGCTGATGAGCGAGGACTTCCCCACGCCCACATGGGTCGTGGAGGCTTTTTGGCCATACCGCACCACGCTGGTGAGTGCGGAGTTACTGATGGCCAGGGGCACAGATGCCGAAGCACGTATGAGTACAGTACAACGGAGTTCGCTGTACTTGCTCTCAATACTGATCACCGGACAGCCTCACAGCTGGTGTGCATGGTGGTAAACCAATCCAAGCATTATCCAGCATCAAGTCTGCTTGGCTTTTAGAGATCTAACCAAAATCGGATAGATTCCAGGTTATTTGGTAATCGACACTCAACGGTTGGTAAAAAAAAAAACCCCAAAGCAGCATCCTCCTGGAAGGAGAGATCGGCGTGCCCTCACTTAGTCTCGCAGTGCTATAGGAGGGCCGCCTTGTTGCAAATAGTTGTACGGTAAAAACAAAAAGGGGGGGGGGCAAAGATGGCTCATTGGAGCAGCCATACAATTTGTGTGTCACGTGGCACAGAGGTTCGTGTTAAACTAGGATAAACAAAAAAAAATGTACACAAAGGGCCCTTGCATATTAACTTCAGACAGTTGAAGCAAGCCTGACTCTGCTGATGAGACGCTGTATGTCAAGACCGATTCAGAGTTTTCTTTATATTTGACCAATGTTGCTGATAACATGCACACTCCGCCGCAGAAGGCTGTGCGGCCTGTAGGCTGTGTAACACGTACTTAAAGATAAATATGGGCAGGAGGCGTTTTATATATACACAAATATGCATATTTTTAAATAGTGCACTGCCCGTGCATTTGCGTGGGATATACTGTAAATGGATTGTAAATGAGTGATATCGATTTCTTACTATTTGTTTTCAAATGAAACTCGCTTGCCGACTTTCAATCAACAACAACGATACTATTATGACATCATAATAACAACAATATCAACTTTGACAACAATAACACAGCACATCAACAGCGACACCAACAACAACAATGACATCGGCATACAGATTGCATTTGTATACACATGTTTGGGTTTGCATATGAGCAAACACAAGAATGGAGTGTTCAAATCTGTGTTTTATTCAAGTAGATTATCATTCAGAGGCATATTGACATCCAGCCAAGACAACTTCATGTATATTTAAAAATAGCATGTGTTTTTGTAGCTTTGCAAGCACTCGTCCTAATGCAGCGTCACACTCTATCGCTCTCTGAAGCTTGCAGCATTCACAACGCTGGCGAGCCGTGCCACGTGATCACGTCTTCATTTACCGTGTCACGTGCTGCAGTAAATCCAGCTGGCAGGATTTCCCAGCGATAAATCTGGGGATATTACACAGGACAGGGTAGAGGCATGCATGTGGCTGCTGCTGCTGCTGGCAGCTTACAGAAGAGACGCATAAATAAGGTGTTCCGTAAGGAAGGTTCTAATCATAAAATGGTGACGTAACGAATGAAAAGTTGGAATTGGCTTCTGCCGTTGCACTGTGATTGGGAGTGCATGAGCCAAGGGGCGGGGGGGGGGGTACATATTTTGCCGGTCTGCATTAGTGGCCTAGACTGCAGGCGGCAACCCCAGCAACAACGACAACGCTGATGCCGTCTAACACATTTCAACCACGGTTAGGCTATGCCAATTTACCTGAGGTTAAAAGTGCGCTGTCTGGCCCGTCTGTTTGGCTGTCACGGGGGAAGGGGGTGGCGAAGCGGGGTGGGGGTGAGGACACTATAACTCTGTTAAGGATCCAATATTGAACGGCGTCCCATATTTTATATGAAGTGCTCTTGCCAGTAACATCGTTTTAATCCAGCAGTATGTGTTGAACAAGCCCGACTCTGGTAACGAGAACCGGAAGGTTGAAACCGCTCAAGGGATTGCTTGCTCAAACAAATGCTGCTTGATAATAGTGGTCTGGAAAAGCCAATAATAGGATAATGGACTAAAGCATATAGTATTATGTCTGGAGAGTCCCAATGGGAATTCTGCCTATATTTTTTTTACACACTTTCAACCAAAATTTGTATATAATGCCAATTTTATTAAAGGCATTTGCCCAATACATGGACACATACCATCTCTAAAGACAAAACCCATGCTGGACAGCGTCATTACACAATATATGCACATGCATGGTTTTTTTTATTAACATCTTTATTTAAGGTTTAATTCGTGGCCCAGCTTGAGTCAGAGTGGTCGTGGGATATAGCAAATGTCCCTTCTTAAGAGGGTGTAATCAGGGACATTTGGCATTGATCCGTCAATCAATTCACGTCGATTCTGAAGCTCGCGATACTCACGTCGAATCGCGT